CAACAATATATTATACATATATTATATATTTAGAAGTATAGAATTCTGTACTTCGTGTATGAGTATATGATATGCTATCCTATACTTTATTTGTTATTTCATGATTACGTTTAAATCTAATTTCAACCACTATTAATGTTGTAATTTTATTCTATGCAGAATCGGTAACGTTGGAAATGACACAAAAATGGTAAGGGCACTCTCAGCCCTCCTGACGTGGACAAAAAAATGCATTAGGTGTTAGGTCTATCCCGTACCTCGTCTGGGATATGTAGGATATGTATAAGATCCCACTTTGTGGGATATGTTATTAAATACAATTTGGTTGATGCAGTAATTATTTATTGTATACAATACAAATCATATGTTGATACCTATTAATTTCTAGGTATTGCAGGTATATATCCTGTCAATATGCAATTTCAAGATGTTATATGTAATGGATGTGATAAAGAAATGTAGATGAAAAGTATAAACTGTTTAATGATTTATTTCAAGCGTGATTTTGGTAGGACAGGTGTTAAATTTGACATGGATTTTTTATTGTTTGATAATCAAAACACTTACATTACCAAGGAGTAATAAAAATCAAAAATTTATACTTATTAACAACACCCGTGTAATTATTATTTGTGCAAAATAGCAGAAGTGTAAATGCTAAAAAATGCACATTAATTAAATGCAAAATAAAAATTACTATTATAGCTATTCGTTTATACTTTTATATTGCAAATAAGTTACTTATTTAAATTATCAAATGCATTACTATGCTTCTGCTGATTCTTGCTGTTCAAATGCGGGATATTTTTCGGCAACTTCTGACCATGTAAGTTTGCCATTAGATAAGTCTCTTACAACACACGGAATTTCGTCCAACTATAAGTGAAATAATAAATTATTTTTCTTTCTCTACCTATGTATCAAAATCTTTAAAACATTTACTCACGCTTATTCTCACTTGGCCCATACTATCCCGTTCACGGAGTGTAGCGCTATGAGGCTTTTTCAAGGTATCAAAATCTATGGTGATACCAAACGGTATTGCAATCTCATCCGTTCGTGCATATCTACGTCCAATACTGCCAGAAGAATCGTCTACTTTATGCGAAACATCTACTTTCGTCAGATTCTGAGCTATAAATGATAAGTGAAATTTATATAAATATTTAAA